TCATCTTGTCCCCTTCTCCTCCACTCCCTACAAGCTCCTCAAATGTTGCGTCCAGTTTGGGGCCCCTCACTACAAGGAGGAGGCTGTAGGAAGGTGGGTGTTGGGCTCTTCTTCGAAGTAGTCGGTGATAGGATGAGAGGAAATGGGCTCAAGCTGCGCCAGGGGAGGTTTAGATTGGATATTAGGAAAAATTTCTTCACGGAAAGGGTGGTCAAGCATTGGAACAGGCTGCCCAGAGAGGTGGGGGAGTCCCCATCCCTGGAAGTGTTCAAAAAATGGGCAGAGGTGGCACTGGGGGACATGGTTTAGTGGGCATGGGGGTGTTGGGTTGATGGTTGGAATGATGATCTTGGAGATCCTTTCCAACCTTAATGATTCCTGGTTTTTACTTCCATTAAAAAATACTCCAGCCCCCAAGACAAAAGATGAAATTATCCCTCTCCCCTGAATTGGTTTAGTGGTGGACTGGGTAGTGTTGGGTCAACGGTTGGACTGGGTGGTCTTCAAGGTCTTTGCCAACCTCAACGATTCAATGATTCTATTCTCCTTTCCAACCTTAGTGATTCCTGGTTTTTACTTTCATTAAAAAATAATCCAGCCCCCAAGCTAGGAAACATGAAATTATTCCTCTCCCCTTAATTGGTTTGGTGGTGGACTGGGTAGTGTTGGGTCAATGGTTGGACTTTCTTCTTTTTCTCCTTTTTCATTTCCTAGGACTGACGGGCTGTTGCGTTTTACTCTGGAATAGACAAACATCGTGAAACACCAAAATAAAAAAAACAACCCTGGAGATGGACACGCTGGAACTGACTCAGGTGGACAATTCATCAGGGTCTGGTTGGGGGTTTGCCCATTCCTTCAGCGACAATGGTCGTACAGAGGAAAATCAGCCCTTTTTTGGGAAAAACACTTATTTACGGGTGCCAAACCTCGCCTTGCACCGTGCCCCAGCAAGGTGCAGCCCTGGGAAAAGCCACCTTCACCGCCTCCCATCCGGGCGGGCATGGGGAGGTTGATGGTTTCCCTTTGGTGTTTTGTCTTTGGGTTCTCCTTGGAGGTTTAGTTGCAGGTCCGTGAATCTCAGTCTTTTCCTGGGAGGTCCTTGTTTTTCTTCCCTAATGCCCCACGCTCTCCTCGGTTGCTTGGAATGGGCTCGAACATCTCTGCTTCTTCATCCCGGGACCAATGGGGGTTTTTTTTATTCTTCTCCCTCTTGAATGGTGGGGCTGTTGGCTCCAGCCCCGGGTTCTGAAGGTCTCTTGCTGCTGCTGCAGGAGCCCGTGACCTTCGAGGAGGTGGCCGTGTATTTCACCAAGGAGCAATGGGCTCTGCTGGACCCGGCGCAGAGGACTCTTTACGTGGACGTCATGCTGGAGAACTACGAGACCGTGACGTCTCTGGGTAAGGAGTCCTGTCCCTTCCAGTGCTGGAGCCAAGAGCTCCTGAAGCTTTGGCTCACGGCCTTTATGTTGCAGGGGCTCTAAATTTTCGGATGGTTTGAGCTCTGCAGCACTCGGGAGCGAGACGGACCATCTCCCTGACGCTCCTCCTGGGAGGCAGAGTGAGGAGGAACATTGAGCAAAAGCCCTTTTTTCTTCCCTTCTGTGTAATTTTCCAGTAGATGGAAATATCTGTCTTCCCCGTAGCGATCTTCTCCCTTTTCCTGGACTAGCTCCGTCCCAACGATTGGTTTTGGGCCAACGTTTGATGTTTGGCCTCTGTGGGGCTTGGGTGGAGGACGCACATGCAGCCGGTGGTCTGGATGACCATCTGGATGACCATGGTGGTCTGCACTACCATCCTTCCCACCCTGTGTCCCTCAGGAAGTTCGAATTTCTTTAACTTTGCAAATACTCTACAATTCTCAAGTCCCTCGTTCCGATAGCTCCTGGTTTCATCTTCTGGAACAGGTTTTCCCACAGCCAAGCCAGACTTGCTCGCCCAGCTGCAAGAGCGAGGAGAGCGCTGGGGCCCCAATCTTCAAGAAACAGAGAAAAAAGCAGCCCTGAGCAGCAGAGCAGGTGAGGATGGGGTGCTTGTGCTCGTGACCACCGACACCGGCGCCCGCTGTTATATCCTATCAAACCCACACCGGGATTTTAGCCAAAGCGTGATGGAATCTGCTAGGAGATATCTACAGGACATACAGCTCCACTCATCCTGGCTGGAAATCGGAATAAATTTCCTCTCCGTTGATTTCCCCTTCTTCCATCCATGGGGAACCAACGGAAGCAGAGCTGCTGCACCCCCAGCCAATTTTCCTGCCTGCTTAATCAGCTTTTTCTACCCCGTCCCCTTGATATTATTTCTACCCGGCCTGAGAAATAACCCGTCTGGCTTCTCTCTGTGTCACGACAGGGGTAAGACAGAAAATCGACAGCGGGATGGTTTGCGGAGGAGGCGATGCCGACCTCGGCGAAACCCCAGCCCAGGAGGAACCTGCGGAAAGGCAGCGTGGACGCGAGGGCGGCCAGAGCAGGGACTTAATTACGCCCCCGAGGGACGACGCGGGAGAGAAACCTTTCAAGTGCCTCGAGTGCAGGAGAAGCTTCACGCGGAGCTCGGACCTCATTGTCCACCAGCGAACGCACACGGGGGAAAAGCCCTACCAGTGCCCCGAGTGCGGGAGATGCTTCAACAGGAGCTCCAGCCTCGTGACGCACCAGAGGATGCACACGGGCGAGAAAATGTACGCGTGCCCCGAGTGCGGGAAAAGCTTCACCCGCAGCTCGACGTTGACCGCCCACCAGAGAACCCACACGGGAGAAAAACCCTACCAGTGCTGCGAGTGCGGGAAGCGCTTCAGCAAAAGGTCGAACCTCATCAAACACCAGCGGCAACACACCGGGGAGAGACCGTATCGGTGCCCCCACTGCGGGAAAAGCTTCATCCAGAGCTCGGATCTCATCGTCCACCAACGCACCCATACCGGGGAAAAACCCTACCAGTGCCCGGAGTGCGGGAAGTGCTTCAGCGTGCGATCCAAGCTGATTCAACACCAGCGCGTGCACACCGGGGAGAAGCCGTACGTGTGCGGCGAGTGCGGGAAGAGCTTTGGGCAGAGCTCGCACCTTTCCGTGCACCAGAAGACTCACAGAGGAGAGAAATCGGTGCTCCAGGTGTGGAAGGTCATTCAGTGCGAGATCCTGCCTTGCTAAATATCGGAAGGCGCGCGCGGGACGCGGCTACGTGGAGCTCCTGAGAGCACGGGCTGCGCGTTCACGCGTGCGCTTGGAGAACAGCTCCTAGGTGCGCCTGCGCCTACGAAAGCTCGGCAAATCGTTCGGCGGAAACGGAACTCCGCCAAAAAGGAGGTGGTCTGCGTGCAAGCGGGACTATTGAATATTTCAGAGGGCGGGTCAAGGAGGAAGCGCGGTCGCGCGTAGGGCGGCTGGGCTGGCGGAGCGCGGCGGGCTTCGCACAGCCGGCGTCAATGGAAACGGGGCCGGTTTGTCCCCTAGGAAAACCAGCTTTGTGGTGGTCCCTCGTCACGTTCCTCGCGCCGCTGGCCCAGTTGGCGCATCTCCTCCCGCGCCTGAAACCCCTCCGAGCGACGCCGGGAGGGCCCCAGGTTTTGGGTGGAGGAGCCAAACGCGGGGAAACAGAACAAGAAGCCGCAACCCGCAGCCCGTGCGTGGCTTGGGGGCCGCAGAGGTGGAACAAGCCGTGCGTTTCCCGCTGTTTTGCTGCAGGAAGCCTCGGGCAGGCAGCACCCTCGCCGCCGGCTGAGGCGCAGCGTGATGCCAGGAGCAAACGGCGCAGGCGGGCTCTCGTTCCATCAGAAACGTCTCGGAAAGAGCTTTCCAGCGGCGTCCAAACGAGGATAACGAAGGGAGGGGACCTCCCTTAGCAGATGTAGCCCCAGCGTCTTCCCAGGCTGGGGAGGGGAAGAGCCGTCCCAGTCTGTCCGGATGCTGGGAGCTGCGGTGCGAGGGTTAGAGGAGGAGAGGGCGGGAGGACGGCCACGCTGTCCGAGGACAAGAACAAAGACCGCAGGGACCGTCTGGCGTTTGCACCACGTGGCTGATTGTTATTTTCCTCTGTATTCCCCCTCCAAAAAATTCCCAGAAGGTCATTTCCTCCGGTAAAGATCTCTGCTTTTTTTTTTTACGGGTCTCTGTTGGCCCCTTGCATCCCTGAACATCTCGAGATGTTGCGCGATGATGAACGTGATGAACATCTCTACCGCGCAGCAAGGCGGGAAGGATTTTCACGGCGAGACCACGGCTGGGCGCTGGGGCCATTTTGGGGCTCTGTGGCGCGGCGAGCCCCGTGGGTGCTCAGAGCAGGGCTACCAGGCTCCACGCACGCCTACACGCACCCCAAAGCCCCATCTAGCCCAAATTATTCCCTCATCCTGTCCACAGGGACTTCGGGATGACTTCTACACGCTTTTAATCTCACGGGGTCCCCCACCTCCCGCAGCGGGGGCACGGGCGGTGCTGGCGTGCCTCCGGCAGCCATCACGCGAAGAAGAGGAGCCAAGGCTTCACGTAGGGGAGCTCGGTGAGCCCGAGCTGTGGGGGACCCCCCCAGCGCATCCCGTCGCCCCAGCCGTAGCGTGGGGCCCAGAAGCTGGCTGACCGCCGGCCTCCCTTTTGCGTTCAAAAAACGGGCAGATGTGGCACTTTGGGATGTGGTTTAGCGGGCACGGTGGCGTTGGGTTGACGGTTGCACTCGATGATCTCAGAGCTCCTTTCCAACCTTAACGATTCCTAGTTTTTACTTTCATTAAAAAATAATCCAGCCCCCAAGCCAGGAAACATGAAATTATTGCTC